ACTCAAGCTTCTTGGATCAACAAAGTCAAAAATATAAGCTGGAAGCTCAACGTCAAGAAGAAGATTAAACATTTCATATGGAAATGCTTCTCTGGAATCCTACCTTCTCAGAATAAACTATGCTCAAAGGGGTTGAAAATAGAATCTATCTGTCAAGCTTGTGGTGATACAGTGGAGACTACTGAACATATACTCTTCAACTGCTCAAGGGCCAAGAAAATCTAGAAGCTGGCACATGTCACTTGGTTTAGCTTGGAAGAAGAAATATTCAGCTTCAATGAGTGGTGGAAGAAAGTCTGTCTCATCCACAAACAAAAGGCTGTTGAATATCGCATTCAACTAACCACATACATGTTATGGTGGTTATGGGAAGCGAGAAATCTTTGTGTATTCAAGAAACAATGGATTGCAGAGAAAGCCCTGATTGATATGGCTTGCTCTGAAAGGCTAGAATTTGCTTTTGTTTAGTTTTTTTTTCTCATTAATTGGCTAGCAAGGTATTGGTCAGTTGCTAGATTTATTGTTTTCACTGATAGTATGTCTCAGGGCCTCAATATTCTATACTTCCCTACAGTCAAGCTGTTAGTCCCTCATGCCTCCCCTAGACCAACTAAGTTTGGCTCTCTAATTGCTTTGTGCTTTTTTTTCTGCAGGTTGCAGTATTTTGTAGTTGTGTTTGTAAGCTTCAGGCTATGAATTTTGCACTCCTTTTCTCTTTAGTTATAAAATTTTTTGTTTCGGAACCAAAAAAAAAAAACTTTGATTGTAGGGAATAGTTGGTATGAATCTGACAAAAGTTGATATTTCTAAGAAGTCTGTATTACAACTCAATGACATATTTATAGTAGGCAAAAGAACAGTCTAGACCACGAAGTCGGTTTCACTAAGTAGGTTGTTGTTATTTTTTATTCATTTATTTATTTATTTTTTTGTCTTTCAACTAAAATAATCTAGAGATTTGGTTAGCCTTAATTTGAAGGATTCTCTAGAAATGAGCATCAACATTTAATACTCTCCCTTGATGCTCATTTGGACAAAATCGAGCTTATCGTATAGTGTCTCGAATCTTGGTCTCATAAATTTCTTGACTGCACTTTTTGTAGCACTTTGACTTTTGTTGTGGTGGTTTTGAAATGTGTCTTTGATGACTGTGTATGTTTACTTCTCCTACTGGTGTGATTTCCGTACTCTGATATTTTTCTTGGCATCTTTTGCTACACGGTTGACACTTGACTTGTAAATTGACTTGTTCTTCTGTGTTGGATATTGAAATTCCATTGCAAAACATTGATTCTCATTCATTTTGATTTTTGCAATTGTCTTCTTGTCTTTGTCGTAAATGGTGCATGAATCTCCCCTGAATTGCAAGTTGTAGCCTTTTTTAACATTTTGCCGACACTTCGCAGGTTTTGATCGATCGCTGGAACTAGGAGGACATTTTTCATATATCTTATGCATGTTCTTGTGTTGACGGCGATAGTTCCTTTACCCGTTGCCTCCACGTAGTCACCATTTCCAATCTTGACCTTTGAACTGGATTTTTCAATATCGCAAAAAATGCTTTCGTTGAATGTCATGTGATTGTTGCAGTCGCTGTCCAAGTACCAAATCTTCTTTTGCCTCATGTTGTAGCGTTGTAGGTGTAGAACAATAATTCTTTTTGGCTCTGCTCTCTCTCTTCAGAAAAATTGGCTCGCTGACTTTGTCTTCTCCCCCAACTGTTTTTCTCAATGTGGCCAAACCATTGACACTTTGTGCATTGGGGTTTCTCTCAAAACCAACACTCTTCTTCTTTGTGATTATTTTTCTTGCAAATTCTACATGGTTTATCATACCATATTTTTTTTTTTTTCGGGTCTAGAACATTCTCCATTACTTGATTTTTATGAAATTCTTTTCTCTTGATTTTTGAAATTTTAAGACCGTAAATTTAATTTCGATTGAAATGCATTTTCTACATTATTTTCATTTTTCTTCAAATTTGTCCTTCTTTCATAACATTCGAGAGAACCAACTAATGTTGTCACTGGTAAAGTATTTAAATCTTTTAATTCTTCAATGACTATAACTATTGAATCATACCTTTCGGTGACAGTAATTAGTATCTTTTCAATAACCTTTTTATCAAAAATATCTTCTCCAACTGCTCTCATTTGATTAACAAGCTCAATTAATTTTGTATAATCTTCTTTCACGGTCTCACTTTCTTTCATCTTTAAATTTTCGTAATCACGCTTTAGAGTCTGTATTTTGACTACACGTACCTTGGATGTTCCTTGAAATCTTCTTGTAAAATCTCCCAAGCTTCTTTGGCACAGTTGGCTTTGATGACTCTTGGAAAAATATTGTCTGACAATGCTTGTTGGATTATTTAGAGTGCTTGTGCGTCCTTTCGCCGCTCCTCATGCAATTTTTTCTGTTGTTGTACGGACAATGTTGATATATCTGTGGGAATATTGGCTCCATCGAACGAGTCCTTTCTCCAACGATAGATTTGTCCAACTCTTCTACTGGATCTGGTTTCACTTAATTCCCTAAACTTCAGATATTCTCTTTCCCCTGGCGACAACTTCCCACAACTCTTATAATAAAAATAATATCTTTATCTTGATGCTCCACTAATCGTAATTTTCTCCTCCAAATATTAGTAGATGAAAATAGTGTTGTTTGATGATGACACCATTTGTATTTTTTGTGCCCCAAGTCTATTGATCGACCGCGCCCTGATACCACTGTTGGTATCAAGTATTTGTTTGATAAATATAATGGGATATAAAAAGAGAAATTTGCTTTTTGCTAATATTACTTGGAATGAAACTTTTGTTGTAGAGAATAATTGGTCTAAGTTTGACAAAATTTGCTATTTCTTAGAAGTCTGCATTACAACTCGACTAATGACATAATTATAGTATGCAAAAGAACACTCTATACCACTAAGTCGGTTGTTGTTATTTTTTATTTTTTTTATTTTTTTTTCCTTTTGTTTTCTTTCACCTAGAATAATCTAGAGATTTGGTTAGCCTTAATTTGAAGAATTCTCTAGAAATGAGCATCAACGTTTAACAGAAGTCAACCTATTTAATTTTTTTTTTTTTTTTAAAAAAACTTACTATTTTAATATTTTTCAACAAGCTCCTTCAATATCCAACAAAATCCTCTTTTCTTTTTTTTTTTTTTCCAAAATGATAAAGATACTATATAAATAAAATTAATTTTTTTTTTTTGTCAAAAACAATAGTAATACTATATAAACTAGTATTCGATCATGTGCATATGCACAAATGCAAATAAAATTTATACGTAATTTATATGTATTTTATGTATAAAAATCATAAAGGGCAATGCTATATGTACACCCCCTTTTAATAAATTACACAAAGAAAAGTGCTATATGTACACCCCTTTTTTACACTTGAGGGGGTGTACATATAGACACCCCCATCATAAATTAAATAATGACCATATCACATTTACGAATTTCATCATGACTGAAATGACGATATACATATTAACTATTTAACTTACATATTAATCTTTAAATTTATGCAATATTGGTTGATTATGACAATTAATAGGATAGAAAAATATTGAAATTATTATTATAACACTTGTGCACAAAACTATAAAGGATTAGGTTATGCCGTTATAAATAATTAACTAATTTTAATATTAAAAAAGCTTGATTAATGAGGTGAAAAAAAATAATAGTAATTTTAAATATATAGTTTGAAAAAAACTTTAAAATAGAATAACATTCAATGTGTCTTCATTATTAGTTAACAGTAGCAATTATATAATAAAATAAATAAAAATTATAATTGTGGTTAAGACAAAAGTAACGAAAAAAGGCAGAAAAACGAAAAGAGTTTTATTAATTGCTTTGCTAGCAATTATATATATATATATATATATATATATATAGGGGGAGGATCCAATGAGTACACTCCTTAAAATGAGTACACTCCTTAAAATGAGTCCACTCCTTAAAATATATATTAATTAAATAATAAAATAATTATTAGTTGACTCCGGCGTTGACCGTTAACTTCCGGCGTTGACCTTTGACTTCCGGCAAAAATTCGTTGACTTTCGACGTTGACCGTTGACTTCCGGCGTTGACTCCGGTGTTGATCGTTGACTTCCGGCGTTGACCCGTTGACCTCTAATATGCATCATATGTATGAAGTAAATATGCATCCAACACCATGCATTCAATATGAACTAAATATGCATGAGATATGAATTGCACATGCAGTCCTTATGAACTAAATATGCACCAATAATATCAACTAAGTATGCACCTGTTATGAACTAAATATGCATCTGTTATGAACTAAATATGCATCATGAATGAACTAAATATGCAGCGAAAAATATGCAATAAAATGTGCATTTCATATAGGTAATTTATGATGCATATTTAGTTAATTTTTTATGAATATTTAGGTAATTTATGATGCATAGTTAGTTAATAGAAATGCATATTTGTTATATTTAAATTAAATATATAATAATATTTATATAATTAATTATTATGCATATTTACTTAATTCATGATACATATTTTAGTTCTTACGAAATGCAT